AAGGTCGAAGTTTGCAGAAACTGGAATAACTTATAGTAATTCTTGGATAGGTCTTTTTAAAATCTTCATAGATATTTTTTAAACTGTCATTTAGGTACCTCTTCTGTTTTTTTGCTTTCCGAAATGTAATAGTGTCCTTTTTGCCAGGACACATTCTGCTGATTTTATCATCTTCAAAGAATGTTTGAATTTTTTGTTTAATTTTGAACAGAACAGCTTTTCTTTCATTAGAGGCCCTTCTGGAATCCATTCCTCTTCTAGAAGTAATTTGACCCAACAAATTTTTAAACTTGTACTTTTTTATTACTTTTCCTGTAATATTATTGAGAAAATTTCTTTTCTCAATACCTTTCTTTTGTTCCTTAAAATTAATTTTTATTTGTTCTTTCAGTGCTTCTCCGGCGAGTACATTTCTTTTAACTTCTGGCGTTACTTGTTGTTTAAAAAGCATCTTTTTCACTTTCTTGTTGGGGGTATCAGGATCTTGCTTTGCCTTTCGACTTAACCTTTTTTTATATTTTCTAACTCGTTTATCTGATTTTCGCAACTTTTCTTCTAGAACCTTGATTTTTTTCTTAAGTTCATCTCTATTTCTCCTTTGGATTCTCTTTCCTGAAACAGATTGCCTGGATGGCCCTGCAACATCTCTACCATGGTCAAATAATATCGGAGTCCCAGGTGGAGTATATTCTTCAAGATGTCTTTGTATTCTTTCATTTCCTTTTTTTCGTTCGTAACACCGTTTGCTCCTTTCTCTCCATTTTTTCCGAATACTTCTTTGTTCTCTATCACTTAGCTCATTTATAGTTTTTATTTTTCCGGCTTTTTTCTAGCATTATATCTCTCTCTTTCTTTACGTTTCTGCTCTTCATATAAGATAGGGTCGTTCTTTATTCTTTGCCTTAATTTTCTCATACACTCTTTAGATCTTTGATTCTGGATATTATTCTTCTTAACCCTAGCCATGTTGATTTGCTGTGAACAAATAAAAAATCTCACTTTCGTTACGCTGTCTCATCTCCGTTAACTATCCACTTAACTTAACTTAACGGAAAAGAGATTAACGGAGGTGAATATAATTTCATATTTCCCACCTAAAATTCTTAACAAGAATGATTATTCTTGATTTTACTTCTTACATCTTACACTAGTTGTACATGCAAATAAATGCCAAGATTTAAAAAAAATTACACAATTACATACCTGTTTATTGGCATTAACTTGGGTGAAAATTCAAGCTTTACATTTGCACAAACTAGCAATGATTTTAGAAAAAAACACTACCTAAATTGCTGTACACTCACAGACGGCCATGACACGACTAAACTAAAGTAACAGCTGAGCAAAAGACGGGTAGTAGCAACAATGTTGCCATATTTATATTTTAGTGAATTTTACTGAAGTACTAACGGAGATGAGCATATTTTTGTAGACAAGCAAATACAGTCGTTTAAAAACCAATACAAAGTATAAACACTCAAATATTTGTTGCAGGGCAGGTCATTTTGAGTTTTCATTCATGTAAAACTATATACCATAAAGTTTTTGTTTTACGTAATCATCTAATGTAGGATCATAAATCGGCGCATCACTGAGGTGACAATTAACAAACGTGAAACCTCACGTCCTGTTAAGCAAATTAAAAATATTTAAAAAACATATAATATGTTAAAAAATGTATACTTTGATTCAAAAACTAATATATTTTATGCACAGAACAAGAAAATATATATTTTTAAATTTCTTTAAGATTATTAGGAGTGTGACATCTGTTTGCACAATTTGGTGAGAATGACCCAGCTGGTAACTATAAATCAACTGTTAACTGGCAAGTGTCCGATAACATTTCGATGTCAGCCCACCGCTGGTAAACATTCAAAATAAACTTGATGTTGCCGACTTCCACGCTATCTTGGAACCCTAGGAAGACGGACAGGGCAACCTATGCCCACCTTCTCCAAGAGGCTCTAAGAGAGATGGAGGCCGAAACATCAAACAATAATACTGCTTTGGAAAAGTACACGAACACTATCCAAAACACAATAAACAATGCCTTTAAGAAATCCTGTCCTCTGAGGCTGGTACAACGTACAACACGATCAGACGACTACCTCATGGTGGTGTCACGAGTTGGATCACCTCAGGCAGATGGCTAGGAAAACTTTTAATAAGGCAAGAACCACAAAACTCAAAGAGGACTGGGATACTTACAACTTCAGAGAATACAAAAAAATCGTCTGACAAAAACAGAGAGATGCATGGAGATTCTACTGGGAAGAAATCGAAGATTTCCCGCAGGTAGCGAGGCTTCAGAAAGCTCTCACAAAATATTCACACCGAAGCATTGGTGCGCTAATCAAAGAGGATGGCATGAAAACTTGCCAACCTTGAAGGTAGCATCAAACTTCTGCTGTCAACACACTTCCCTAACTCAGTCATCACAGACGTGACGGACTGGGCAGATGAAAAATACAATTCATCTGTCTATGATTGGCAAACTACCGAACACATTGTAGACGATGAAAAAATTAAATGGACAATATCCAGCTCCTCTCCATTTAAATCGCCAGGACTTAACGGTATCTATCCAGCCCTACACCGCACCTGGTGGATATATTCAGATCCTCGTTGGCTCTGAGGTATATCCCTCAAAAAATAGAGAGAGGTAAAAGTGGTATTTATACCCAAACCTGGAAGGATGATTTACACTGTCCCAAAAACCTACCGACCAATTATTCTGACGTCGTTTTCCATGAAGACATTGGAAAGGGTATGCGAAAGGTACATAAGAGATTCGGCGATTACAACAACACCACTATACTCAAACCAACATGCATACACCCCATGCAGATCTACTGATTTAGCCCTTAATCTAGTTGCTGGCCGGATATAAAGATCCCTGGATAATAAGGAGTCCGCCTTGGGTGTTTTCATAGATATAGAAGGTGCTTTTGATAAAACCACCTTCTTAGAGATAATACACTCACTAATCAACAGGAATGTTACACAAATGGTTAGTGGATGGATACTTATCATGCTTTCGAAGCCAGCAGTAAACATAAGTGTAGAAGATGTAAATATAAGAGGTTTGGTTGTGATGTAGAATCTGGTGAGGCGAGACGTCGCTTTTGGCAGGAGGCGCTCGATACGCTCCCACTGCTTCAAGCGAACTTGGACTCCATATCACCGAGATATATCTTCCATAAGCCATATAAAGTTATAATAGAACAAATAGAAAAGCCGGAAGTGGCAGGTACGATTCATATCTATACAGACGGTTCCAAAACAAAACAAGGCCCAGGATGTAGAAAATACTCCAGATTCTTAAACCTAAATATAAAATGGGATGTGAGCAATAGTGCTAGTTTAGTTCAAACAGAGCTAACGGGATTCAGGGTGATTTTATTGCACTGGGGGAAGTAGACCTCGGAGTAGAAAGGACTATTTCCATTTTAAAAAATTGGAATAATTTTAGAAACTTTCCATTTATTAGGGAATGTGCTTGTGCGAATAATAATATTAAATATTTGACATAACGGAGTCGATAGTACATAAGCTATATTGATAAGGAAGATAACAGCAGGTTCTAATAAAATCTTAGATACGCCACTGGTATAATGTAAATGGGTCTCAGTGAGAATTATGTAGCTTATAAAGATTTTATACATTCCCATATTTTTTTCCATAAACAAATTAACAGTAACATATTAAAAAATTGTATCCAATATCTTGGTCATTTTGGCAGCTGATAGAAACTTTTCAACACACGATTATTATCCATAAATGTCCCTGAAATTCAAATGTTCAATAAAAAAGGGGGTTTCTATTTAAAAAGTAAAAATAAATTTTGATTTTCTGTTATTTCCGAAAAACCGAAAGTAAGCTATTTCGTCGCAGACCAATTGAATCCAGTATAGGACAGTATTTGTTCCAAGCTTTTCGATGTTTGGGGAAACCACTCCAATATCAACACCTCCACACACGAATCGCGACAAATGTTCGATATCCAATCAATCGTTAAAACGAAAATTGACACGTTCGATACGCGACAACTTGGATATCCTACTGACTGCGCCACAAATATTTTCTGATCTCGAAATTCGTTTTTTAAAAAAATATTTTAAAATTTTACAAGTTTTATTTCATCTAACTATCAAGAGATCTAATTAATAAGTGAAGTAATGCATATAAAATGTTGTAAACCAGAATATTGAAATTAGATACGCGATAACAGTTTCTAAGAAAATAGTCGTTGACTCTTCAATTCACATAACGAACGTTGACGTAATTCACTGGTATAAGGTAAATGGGTCTCAATGGGAATTTTGAGCGTTATAAGATTTTATAAAAAATATGCATCCCTTATTTTTTTCTATAAACGAATTATTTATAATTATTTAGAAAAATTATTATTCAATATGGCAGACATTTTGACAGCTTCCAGAAAATTTATCGAGATACAGGGTATCATTAGTTTAAAAACAAAATTTAAAATTTGTGATAAATCGAAAAACATCATTAAATATTACTTCATATGTGACCTACCAAGATACTGTCAAATACACGAATTATTTTAAATTTTACACGTGATACAGGATTAGAATTTAGAAATATTAAGACACTACAAGTATCTAAGTACATGCAGACTTCTGCTTGTAAACATTGCTTATATTAGCTTATTTAAAGATTGTTACATTTTCAAATAAAAATGAACAGAGAATTAAAAAAAAAACTAACAAACATATTTGTTTCTTTAAGAGCATATTGATCACCAAATTTGAAAAAAATATTTAAAATCGTTTTTGATCTATAACAAATTTTGAATATTGATTTCGAACTTTTAACACCGTGTATCTCGAGAGCTCTATTTAGTTGAGCGCTGTCAGTTGAATATACTAACATCCTATATCTCACTTGCTACGCAAACATTACTCATGTAATGTCCTTAAATAAATATATTATATCAATCATATTTTGCTAATGTTATTCCTTTGTTTTAGTCTAATTATGTATCCATTGGCGAATATCAGGATATTAAAACATATTTTTAAAAATTATGATAAATATGTGTCGAAAGTTAAAATTCAGTGTGGATATGATGATGCAACTGCCAGGTTTGTTACTATAAGAGAGTGCATTTTGTTACACAAGGAAATAATTAAGTAAGTCGTAAGTAATTATTATAAAAATGATATGGTTAGATTGACGGCAATTTGGTTTGTAACGTTTAAATCGGACCAATAACAGTGGATATGTACACTTAGGCCCTTTTGACATTGATACTGCGCTTGATTTTTCTTTTCAATGTTAATCTACGTCATGTGTCGTTTACAACGTCATTTTTCGCCTTTGAATCGGACCAATAACAGCGGAGATGTACATTTAGGTCCTTTTGACATTGCTACTGCGCATGATTTGTCTCGTTAACGTTAAATAATGTTACTTCTCCTACACAGTATTGTTTTTTTCGTTTAGATCGGATCAATAGCAATGAAGATATAGACTTGGGCCCTTTCGACATTGTTACTGCGCATGATTTTTCTCTTTAGTGTTTACCTATACTCATTCACGTAAAGAATAGTAGCCATCTTGGATCATTTAGCCGAGTCGCAAACCACTTATCCAAGTTTTAATTTACAATGCTAAGAGGTGGCCCCATCTAGAGAGTTTTTTAAGATTTAACTTGTTAGAATCTAAAAACGACGATAATTTAAACGAAGAGTATTTAAATATCGAATCTTGATATAAATGTCCAACTATATTGACTAAAGATGACGTACGATAACAAAGAACGAAAAGATGTACGACGACAAAAGGCCTCTTCATCACAATTTGTTTTGTGCGCATGCGTCAGTATCAGCTATGTTTTTCATACTGTTGTTTGTAAAAAAGAATGTTAAAATGCCCACGTAAAAAAAATAAAATCATTAAATATTAATTTAAGTATAGGTTCTCATTTAAAAAAAGAATAAAAAATAAAGTAATAAGAAGTGTCTTAATTCAAAAATAATTTTTTTAATCCATTATAATTTTGTATTCTTACCGAAAGGAACAATTCTGTATTTTTCTTTTTGTTTTTGTTTGTTGTATAAGTTAGTTATAGAAGGACGAAGTGCATCCTTATGTCTTTGATTGTATGTTTCATATAGGCAAAGATTTCAATTAAAATCAAATTTTATTTATTTTGCAACATCCTCGTCACAAGTGCCAATTCTGAGACTGGCCACAGCTCGAATTTTTAGGTTTAAAACTAGCTGTGTCAATAAAAAACTGCGAACTTTGTATACGTGTCTAATGTTAACATGAACAGAAACAAATTAACAATTATTATAGCAACAAACTATATGTTCTACCGTTGTATGAGTAGTCCTAGTAGGTCAGCCCAATGCATTTATTTGTTTGATACCAAAAGGAGACCAGGGGGCTTATTCTCTAACCAACGTTTTTGAAAGCGCTTAGCGCGTCTCTCTAGAAACGCGACAAACAACTCACACGAGCGTACAGCACGAACGTTTTGGTATTCTCTACTTACTGTGTAGCGTTTTGCTGTTCGTACTTCAAGTTTTGACATATGAGACCAAGATTTGTGGACATAGATAAGCCAAACACTTAAAATATGGACTGAAATATTAAAATATATCAAAATCAGCTCTCTGTTTTATGGCAGAAAATAGTTATCAGTTGGATATTAGTAAAAACTTTCAGATTTGGTATTTCTTCCATCTCTCCTGGTCCTCCACCCGTTTTTATATAGGATTTATTGTTTATAGATTGTTTGCTTTGGTTCTGGATTTGATGACATTCCAAGAGTAAAAACAAAGACTACGTTTAAGTCGTTATATCGTGACTATAGGTAATATATATATATATATATATTATATATATATATATATATATATATATATATATATATATATATATATATATATATATATATTATATATATATATAGATTCGTCCTGCCGACGTTGTGACATCATGTCGCAAAAATGTTGCTATCTTTATAACATCCGTCTGCGATGTGACATCCAAATTCGGATGTCACAACGTTTTTTGGGGTTCAAACATCTTAGAAAAGGTTTAAAAGGGCGCCAAACAAATTTCAGCTGGATGTCATAATGCTTAATTTTCAATTTTGTGTATAAATTTAGTTCCAGTGTATAGATGTGAAGGTGGCGCTCGCGTCAGTTGGTTTTGTATATTTTGTATATTAAATATTTCAGTCCCTCGACTGTCTAACATCCACCATTAAGTATATTAGAATTTACTCACTCGACTGTCTGACATCCAACATTCAGTATATTAAAACTTACTCACCCGACTATCTGACATCCACCATAGAGTATATTATAACTTTACACACTAGGTTATGTGACATCCAAAAAATTTATTTTAGATATATTTGGATTTTCATTTTAAGATCTATTTTATGTTAACACATTAACTGCCAAAATATTTTTGTTGGGTTTCGCATAGAGCCAATAAGTTTTTTAAATGCATTTACTCTCTGTGACTAATAAATATATATGCAGCTATATTATTATAAGGTGTATCAACAATGGGGTGAGTGGACGATGACTGTAATTTATAATAAAATAAATCAAATGAAATTAAATTAAATTAAAATAAATAAAATTAAAATAATTAAAATAAATAAAATTAAAATAATTTAAAATAAATTAAAATAAATTAAAATAAATTAAAATAAATTAAAATAAATTAAAATAAATTAAAATAAATTAAAATAAATTAAATAAATTAAAATAAATTAAAATAAATTAAAATAAATTAAAATAAATTAAAATAAATTAAAATAAATTAAAATAAATTAAAATAAATTAAAATAAATTAAAATAAATTAAAATAAATTAAAATAAATTAAAATAAATTAAAATAATTAAAATAAATTAAAATAAATTAAAATAAATTAAAATAAATTAAAATAAATTAAAATAAATTAAAATAAATTAAAATAAATTAAAATAAATTAAAATAAATTAAAATAAATTAAAATAAATTAAAATAAATTAAAATAAATTAAAATAAATTAAAATAAATTAAAATAAATTAAAATAAATTAAAATAAATTAAAATAAATTAAAATAAATTAAAATAAATTAAAATAAATTAAAATAAATTAAAATAAATTAAAATAAATTAAAATAAATTAAAATAAATTAAAATAAATTAAAATAAATTAAAATAAATTAAAATAAATTAAATTAAAATAAATTAAAATAAATTAAATTTAAATAAATTTAAATAAATTTAAATAAATTTAAATAAATTTAAATAAATATTAAATAAATTTAAATAAATTTAAATAAATTTAAATAAATTTAAATAAATTTAAATAAATTTAAATAAATTTAAATAAATTTAAATAAATTTAAATAAATTTAAATAAATTTAAATAAATTTAAATAAATTTAAATAAATTTAAATAAATTTAAATAAATTTAAATAAATTTAAATAAATTTAAATAAATTTAAATAAATTTAAATAAATTTAAATAAATTTAAAAAATTTAAATAAATTTAAATAAATTTATATAAATTTAAATAAATTTAAATAAATTTAAATAAATTTAAATAAATTTAAATAAATTTAAATAAATTTAAATAAATTTAAATAAATTTAAATAAATTTAAATAAATTTAAATAAATTTAAATAAATTTAAATAAATTTAAATAAATTTAAATAAATTTAAATAAATTTAAATAAATTTAAATAAATTTAAATAAATTTAAATAAATTTAAATAAATTTAAATAAATTTAAATAAATTTAAATAAATTTAAATAAATTTAAATAAATTTAAATAAATTTAAATAAATTTAAATAAATTTAAATAAATTTAAATAAATTTAAATAAATTTAAATAAATTTAAATAAATTTAAATAAATTTAAATAAATTTAAATAAATTTAAATAAATTTAAATAAATTTAAATAAATTTAAATAAATTTAAATAAATTTAAATAAATTTAAATAAATTTAAATAAATTAAATAAATTTAAATAAATTTAAATAAATTTAAATAAATTTAAATAAATTCAAATAAATTTAAATAAATTTAAATAAATTTAAATAAATTTAAATAAATTTAAATAAATTTAAATAAATTTAAATAAATTTAAATAAATTTAAATAAATTTAAATAAATTTAAATAAATTTAAATAAATTTAAATAAATTTAAATAAATTTAAATAAATTTAAATAAATTTAAATAAATTTAAATAAATTTAAATAAATTTAAATAAATTTAAATAAATTTAAATAAATTTAAATAAATTTAAATAAATTTAAATAAATTTAAATAAATTTAAATAAATTTAAATAAATTTAAATAAATTTAAATAAATTTAAATAAATTTAAATAAATTTAAATAAATTTAAATAAATTTAAATAAATTTAAATAAATTTAAATAAATTTAAATAAATTTAAATAAATTTAAATAAATTTAAATAAATTTAAATAAATTTAAATAAATTTAAATAAATTTAAATAAATTTAAATAAATTTAAATAAATTTAAATAAATTTAAATAAATTTAAATAAATTTAAATAAATTTAAATAAATTTGAATAAATTTAAATAAATTTAAATAAATTTATATAAATTTAAATAAATTTAAATAAATTTAAATAAATTTAAATAAATTTAAATAAATTTAAATAAATTTAAATAAATTTAAATAAATTTAAATAAATTTAAATAAATTTAAATAAATTTAAATAAATTTAAATAAATTTAAATAAATTTAAATAAATTTAAATAAATTTAAATAAATTTAAATAAATTTAAATAAATTTAAATAAATTTAAATAAATTTAAATAAATTTAAATAAATTTAAATAAATTTACATAAATTTAAATAAATTTAAATAAATTTAAATAAATTTAAATAAATTTAAATAAATTTAAATAAATTTATATAAATTTAAATAAATTTAAATAATTTAAATAAATTTAAATAAATTTAAATAAATTTAAATAAATTTAAATAAATTTAAATAAATTTAAATAAATTTAAATAAATTTAAATAAATTTAAATAAATTTAAATAAATTTAAATAATTTAAATAAATTTAAATAAATTTAAATAAATTAAATAAATTTAAATAATTTAAATAAATTTAAATAAATTTAAATAAA